GTCAAGCACAAACCAGCCCATGTGGATAGAGTTGATGAGACGTTGATTATCGCTGTACGTCTCCTGTGAAACAGTTAGCACATTATACATTCAAGTCAAAGAGTCGAGCAGACATTCACCTTTGCATCCTCAAAATGCTTGAGCAGGATGTCCATGTGGTAAAGCAGCTGATCTAATGACGACCACCTCTTCTCTTCCGCCGGCGTAGCCTGCCAGAAGGGCTGGAGGAAGTCCGCCGTCAACCTGAGGACATCCCAGTCGTCCTGCGTGAGACTATCATCACCCAAGGCCTTATGATGCTCTTGTTGAAACACCATAAGCTTGTCTTTCTTCTCGAGTGCAGTCCGAAGCAGCATGTACCATGAATTCCATCTTGTTGCATTGTCAATGCCAAGTGCACGGCCTGCCAGGCGCTGCCATGCGTCGCTGTGCACTGTCGAACTCCGTATAAACACGGCGATGTTGTGTAGTTTGCCAAGGGGGCCGATCGATCGCCATCCGGCTTGATCATCTGGCACCCTTCGGTATTTGCCCTTGCCGTTCTTTTGCTGCAATTGCGCCTGCAGAGACTCAACAACTGTCGCATCCATGTTGTCATCCGCCTCTTCAATCGCCGCGACGAGTGCCTCCTTGCTAGAGGCAAAAAGAAACGCCTGGAGGCACAGATTGATAATATGGCCTCCGCAACGAACGCGACGCTCAATGGGGTCAAATCCAACGCCAAATTCGTTCGCCAGTGATGTTGATAAAGCACGTAGGCAAGTATCATTGGAGGTAGCGTTATCCGCCGTAAAGTAACCAATGTTTCCGGCAATATGGAAATACCGTATCGTGTCTAGCAGGTGCCTTGACATCGTCTCGCCCGAGTGACTGTGCTGTATGTTCGGCAGACCCAGTAGGGCCTCGCGGAGCTTATAGTGTTCATCGACCCATTGCGCGCATATTCCGAGGAAGGCTTTCCGATGCGGCGACGACCATAGATCAATACTGAAGTGGACTTGCGACTTTGCCACCTGTAGCTGAGCCTTGATGTTCTCGCGATGTCTGACATATGACAGCTCAATATGGGCCAATACAGTATTGCCTGAGTGAATAAGGATCTCTTCAGCCCTCGGGTTAACCGCGCAGAGAAGTGCTTGGTATTCCGGCCACGAGACGCAGTTGAGCGGGAGACGCCGGCGTATGATAAGCTGGATCTGAGCCTCATAGAATGCGTCAAGTTGGATCGTATTCCGTAGTATGGACTGTTCGTCACGAGATGCTAGCTCTCGATTCTTCTCTTCTACGCGTGCAAACGCTACTTCAAGGGACTGTTGTAGTGCTTTCTTGGCTGGCCTTTCTTCATCACTAAGGACAATACCGTGGTCGCTTCGCATATGCCGTTTGGCACTTGTCGTCGACACTGTACGCCATGGCGGATGGTGACAATGTTGGCAATACCAGAGTCTCTGGTTGTTCTGATGTGTCTCTTCCTCTTCTCGAGGCACACGGAAGTGCTTCCAGGTTTCTGGCGCACGTAGTTTGCGTTTCTTCGGCTGCGGCTGTGGCGTAGACGCGGAGGACGCGGCGGAAAAGGGAGTAGAATGAGATCTCTCAGCTGCGGAGACGCTTGATTCTGGCGCTGGTGAGCTGAATTCTTCGTATTCAGCGCCATGAGCAAATAGGAACGACCCGGCAGGCATATCGACGCGCAGCGTGTTCGGGTTGTGTGCAGGAGACAACCTGTTTCAGTCGGCGTGAGGCGCCTAAGCCCTGCTCTGATCGATTCGCCGCTGAGAGACATCGTAAGCTTCGCGTAATTCTGGCGTCTGCTTAAAATTTGATTCATTTAGGCTGGGCGGCGGGGCACTGGAAGTTGACCCCTTAGGGATCTGCGAAGTCACTTGTACACCCATTGGATGGTGGATTTTGGTTCAGGAGTATGTCCCCGAGACCTCGTGCGTCCCTGTCCACTTTAGTAAAAAGCCAGTGGGGATAAAATCTGTCACACTGGTGGTGCCCGTGGGGGTCGGAGCAACATGGACAGCTTTCTCGATTGATAACTAACCATAACTGAGGAAATACATCCCCCATAATTTTGGAGTAAATACTGGCCAGAAGCTCTCAGTAAGAGAAACATAGTAACTATACCCCAACTAGCATGAACGCAGATCCTATGAAGTGACTACATGTTTGTCGAACTAGTCAGCTCTGGAGATGTTATGCAAGGCATGCTACCCTATGCATAACAGATAATAGCTACTCGTGCACAGCGCTTATCTGTAATGGCGAGGCTGGTATTTCTTAACTACGCCGTATGGGTTTCACCGCTCCAGTAACATGCTCTTCATCGTCTCTCAATTGCGAGTAGTCTTGACGGAAACTGACCAGGCAGTTCATTGGGAACGATACAATTGGGTTTTTATTTCATATTTAAAGAGCACGCAATTCTGCATTCCGGTCAGGGCGATGGTTGCAGTTGTAAGATACCTAGCTTAGCATAGACCAATGCGCTTCTGTAGTTGTATCTGGTAATTATGCATTAGCACTGTGGGAGAGTTCACACGCCGACGCGTCAGACGCGTCGCGTCGCGTGTGAGTATGGATAGTTGCCATATGGCTTAACTACCTGACAAAATCTGGACCAATCAAATCTGTGAAAACTTTTGTGCACCCCTGTCAGCACCAATCCCTCACTTGAGAAACTTATCCGATTAATGTTAAGTCAGCCTACGGCTGAATAAAGTGTATTGATCCCCCATTACGGATATGATCTGGTCACGTGTGTTACTGATTACTGATTGATTGAGCAGGAGCTTACTGATACTGATACCATATCAGTATCAATCAGTAATCAGTACTGCTTGATAACTTACTGCTTGTTGAGAAGCCTGAGCTGTGGCAGGGCTTTCCACAGCCTTCCCGGCCCAAGCGCATCACGAGCTGCTGCTTTCAAATATACGACGCACACCCATCAATGAGTTCAATCGCTCTCACGTTCTACTCTCCTTGGCGTTCCCCTGCCTCTTCCCTGACGGGAGAGCTGACTTTGTTGAACCTCGACTACGTTCCATTGATTACAAGGACTACATCGAGCATGCAATGGGTCGATTGAGTACAAGGATTACATCGAGCACGCAATGCGGTGGCACGACGGGCGTTTTGCACGCCACCCGACCTTCCGCTTCGTCGCCTTCAATACTCTGATGCGGTCACAGGCCCGTGCACGGTCCAAATTCTTCGTGAAGCAACACGATGGTAGTCATGAACCGCTCACACGGGAGCAGCTTATTCAGGCACTGGAGCACAGCGAGGACCCCGAGGCGCAGGTGCTAGTCAACTCAATCACCAGACATGGGGTATCTCTCAATCACAAGACATGCGGTACCTATTCGCGGCACGCGCCCCTTCTGGAACAGGAAGAGGCAGGACCTCGAGGCCTATGCCTACAACCTTGGATGTCCTGGTGCATTCATCACATTCAGCCCGGCAGATCTACACTGGCAGAGTCTCTACCAGCACATGCCTCGATATGATGAATGGCTGGCTGCGTCCGAGTCCGAGAGGATGGGTCTCTCGCGCCAACTTTTGCGTCAGAATCCTCACATTGCTGCTTTCCATTTCTACCGCCGATACTGCTTCTTTCGAGATATCGTGTTAAGCAAGAAGTTCAACATTACGGATTACTGGGATCGGTATGAATGGCAAGGGCGTGGCAGTCCGCACAACCATGACCTGTACTGGATGGATCATTGCCCTACAGTCGACATGGTTGATGAAGCCGCTCGTGATGTTTTTGCACGCACCTGGGGATTCA